TGCCAATATACATTTATGATAAAAGTTGCTATCTCTGTTTCTTCTAAAAGAATAAGATGGATGATAATATTGTTGTATTTTGGCAGAAGAAATCAATGGTTGTCAAGGTGCGTTATTGTTTTTCAATTATGTAAAGTCTATTTTATATTTGTAATTTGTTCTGTTTGATTATTTTAAGGTATCTTGTTTTAAGATTTTAATTTTACGATTATATTTAGTTTAAGCTTGTAAAATATGAAATATAAACAATAAAGTCTGCTGATGCCATATAAGAAATGTTTTATATTTCCTATATCTCTTGTATTTAATTGATTGTAGTTTGTAGTATTAATATTATATAAAATATTTCTAAAAATGTAAAATTTTCACAGGACCAAAGTTATTCCTAAATTACGAGTGATGGCATGGCCTTAAGAGCCACACTGGTGACATTGCTTGAAAGTGTTTTATTTTCACCTAACTATGCTATATCCCATGAGTGGTAGTTTAGATAAGCATTATCAATCGGCTCGGCACTGATGAAAAAATTTATACCACATATGAGAAGGGAACACAAGCGATCACTGCTGTAGAATGTTAGGAACACCCAATACTCACAATGTCTAAATTATTTAACGAAACATCTGAGTTCGTCAATTTTTAGAAAACGGGCTTGCTGGTACGTATAAGTATAAATTTAAGCCCGACGGGTTCATTAATAACTAAAGTAAGGCAGTATTAAGAGTAGCTGTAGATACTTATAAGTGATATGCTTATTATACATATTTATCGTTTTTTTACAATCAATAACATTTGTTGAGTTTAGCCAAATCATCAATGCTCCTGCCAAAATACTGGATGATATTACGAGAGAAAGACGTCTTTAAAAGCGATTAGTTCATCTCTAAAGGCTTCGCAAACTTACCAAAGTTTACGAGATACATTTAAATAAGTTATGTTGCAAATGTTCAAAGATACTTTTAATATTTGTAGGTTATAGTTTTAAAACAATAACATAAACAACGCGTAAGTCAAATGTTAATGACAGGCGACACCTGTCAACTGATCCTATTTCGACATTGACAACCACTTGTATCTATGAAACAGATAGGCTAAGAACCGTATTTTTTGTGCCTATTTGATTTTCGCCATTTTGACGCTGAAGGTTTCGGTTGTGAGGATCGAAACTAAAAATAGAGATGGATTTAAACTGTTAGTTACATCGACCAGCGCGTTTATGTCGAAGCAAAAAACTTATTAAATACACTCTTACCATTTACAGTACAGTATTAATATAACCTAATTTAATAATTTAAAGCGATTTAAATATAAAGTTACGTGCAGTCAAACTGCGTAAGAATTTTTGCGGGGCATGGTTTAAATAAAAGTGTAACTTTTTATAAATAAATATATTAAAAAATTGCAATTTCAAAGCAATGACCTATCCAGTTGAAGAGGTCAGTGCTTACGACAATGGAATATTGCCATATGTAAAATCTAAACTTATTGATTTTCGTGAACTATGGCAGCCGGAGAGTATTATGTAAAGATTTAAAATAAAAAACTTTTTGTAATACTTTTTGTTTTTTGTTCATTTTGCGGTTTTTTAGGTACCAATGGTTAGTTAGCTTGTTAGTCGTTTTCCATGTTCCTTCTATAAAAGTATTGGTTTGGGGTATTAGAAATGCATGTTGTAAATTGATTAGTACGTACAATAGAAACGTACAAAGCCTAATGTTGTAGCGCTGCGACGATTGTTTCGTGGTTCGGAAAATTATGTTAAATTACTTTTAATAACAAATTTAGACTATCAAACCATACATAGCACATTAATCAATGATAGATGAGGATGTCAATGTGTTTGCTTAGTATTGAAAGAGACTATGAATTTTTTAATAGACCATTAAGTGTCGAGTTTAAAAGTGATTAATTATTATAACGCACGCAATATAATGATGCGAGCACATAACACTAAAATATCATTTAAGTAATTTTTCGTAACAGCATTTTTTTTTTCAAATATCACGTTCTTAAAATTGAGCTACGCGTCTGGGGCAAAATTCTACCAAATTAAATAAGTATCATTACTATTTTGATTTGTTACAAGTAATCTCCACTTTTCTCTGTATATTTCTTTGAATGGGAAACCTTTATTACAACTAGAGTTTTGTCATCATACAAAAAAAAAAGACAAAATTATGGAAGACTGTTAGTTATAATTAAGCTAAAAAATAAACTTTTGGGCTTTGAATTGTGTGAATAATTTTTATTTCTGTGCATGTTGTACACAGCAGTACTTCTTTTATCTACATTTTTGATCAAACCATTATAATTACAGGGTCGTGTGTTCACTCAATATTTTCATTCGAACAGTCGAGGCACTTTTAAAGTTTCCCAATAGTTTTACGAATTAAATTAAAGAGTAAAAATGTTTCGTGATAATGATAAATCCTCTATATTTAAAAATAAACATGGAAAGAATGAAACGAAGGACAATTTCTGGAAGAAAAAATTTGTCGAATTCTGTAAGAGAACAGATCTCCATGGCTTTAAGTATATTGTGATGGACGAACTAAATAGTGTTGAGAGGTTTGTAAAGATTAATTCACAAGATACAGTTTAATAACTCAATTAGTAGCGATCGATTCGTTATTTCCGCGAATCCAGGTGACAGCTTGCTTGTTTGCCACCTAATAATATAAAAAATAAGCGAAGAGCTTCGATCAACATCTCAAGAAGCTCTCGCTACACAGTTGGATTAAGGCCCCGATACAAAATACAGTTATCCTAGAAACCGCGCGCATCGTGAGAAGGTTCCTGTCTCTGCAGCCCTGACCACTGGTTGTTTGAGTCATGGGATTCCGCAGCCGGTGGTGTTCTGTTTTTAATGTAATATGTTTTGTATTTCTTTTATTTTTTTTGGATATGAAATGTATTATATTAAAAATATGATAAATAAATGTATATGAGAATAATAAAAAATAATAATTAGCTTTTTATCACGAATTTTAGATAGATCGAGTCATATGTAGGGTATGGTTATGTGAAAAAGAAGATGAATTGCACAGCCACCCCTAACAGGGTAGCCTCCATCCCTCAGTGGGGACTTATAGTGAGCTAATGGTATATATAGCAAAGTTTCAAATTGTGCTAACCCTAGGTAGTGAATAAGGCAGTATGATGATAAAATAACATAAAACAGTGGTCCCTTAAGGCATCGCAGTGTTGTTCTATCGTATTATAAATACTGTATGATTTTTCTGTAATTCAGGGGCTGTTGGGCGTTCGCAGTCGGTTTGAGTTTTATTTGCGGCGCTTACTTCGTCATTACAGCTTATCGTTGGTACGCGAGAAACCCTATTGTTACGGTAAGCATTAATATATAAAGACAAATATTATATCTATTATATATTTTTATCTATAATACTATGTGCAAGGACGTGAACAACAACGCAGCAACTTCTGTATGAATATTTATGTAATCCTATATGCTTATCAGAATCGGAAGTGTCTTTGTCTTTCCGCATCAGCTTGTTTTGTCAACAACTCAAATGTAATTAATTCCACGCAGTTTCAAATATCTGGCCAGAGATAAAAAGATCTATGATTAATTGTGACCTTTTAAAAAATGTGTCTAAACTTTGTCCCATCCATAGATTATGCAAACATTATAAACTTTGATGATTTCCAGAATTTATAATAATTTAGCGATAAAATGTCATTCTACATCAGTCTCGATAAAGATCTTCTTATTGACCTCGGACAAAACATTCAAAATTGTTTTTCGTTAATCGTGATATGGCATTTTTCGTCGACACTTTTATACTAATTGAGTTCTAAATAGACAATCTAATGACAAACAAATGAATTGTACATTATTCTATTTTGTTTTAGGTTATAGAGAGTACGCAAGGCGCGATCTGGGACGTACCTTTTCCAGCGGTGACTATCTGTGATTTAAATACAGTGTCACGCAAAGCTGCGTTCGCGTTTGCTCACAATGTGTAAGATCATGTTTTATAAAAGTACTGGCTAATTATAAAAAAATAATAAACCCGAATGTGTATAGAACCTATACACTCTGGAGAAGAATACGAATCGAATGACCCTTCACTCACGATAATTGATTCAGTCGTTTAGGCTCTAGACTGTCACAAAGGAACTACATTAAAAAACGACATACACGGAACTGTGTCAGTATGGTAAAAAGTTTAACATCGACTAGATCGATTTGGAACAAAGTCCAATTTGTTACAAGTATTAGTAACGAATAGAAGTAGGAGCGTCGGTGGCTCAGTGGTCAAGCACTTTACTTGCAATCTGCAGGCCCTGGCTTCGAATCCCGCTATGTACCAATGTGTTTTTCGATTTCCGATTTACATATTATATGTACATTTATCCGACTTTTATACGGTGAACGAAAACATCGTGATGCAACCTGCACATATCTGAGAAGTAATTAAAAGATAAGTGTGAAGGCAACCAACCCGCACTTGGCCAGCGTTGACTATGGCCTAATCACCCTTAACTTAGGGTAGGCTCCGAGCCCCTCGGTGGGGACGTATAGTGAGCTGATGATGATGATTAGTAATAAATAAGTAATTATCTGCCTTGCGATGTGGGTCTATGCTCGGTGGTATTTCTAAATCTAACTCAGAGTCTTAAAAGAATCGAGCTTACGGTTTCGTCCGTCAACGTATCTGCAGTTCCTGTGGTGTTGAGTATGTCCATGGGCGTCGTTGAAAACCTGTGTGTTCCGGCCGCATTTTTGCCAGCTATTCTTATCAAAATATCGTAAAGCGACAAAATATTACTTACCTAAGTGTATTTAATTTGATCGCATAACGATCTTAATTTTAGTCATACTTTTATTATTTAATCAAGTTTATATTTCAGTATTTAAATTATATTGATTTAGTACCATTTTCAAGGACTTTGCCGAGGAATGTTACGGAAGAATTTATCTTTAAAACATTACGTTTCATACCTTTATTACATTCCAATAATGTTGTATCAAATAATATAAAACATGATTTGGGTATCCTGCAAGATGTTATGGATAACAATAATATTAGTATTGAATCATTATTTTACGAAGTAAGTATAGTAATTTTTGTTTCTCTTTTATCCGTAAACAACTAATGCGATAAGTTGTGAACATTACCGTTATGACGAGAATTAAAAAAACAGGAAGAGTATACCATGCTATATTCGTGACTATGTTATACATTTGTGCCAAATTTCAATAAGATGTGTTGATCCGTTGCATAGTTATTGAGTAAATGTGTAAATCAAACGAATCCCACCGGAACTGTACACAATTGCGTAATCATAGGTAGCCTAAGAGCTCTTCCAGACTATGTTCTATATGCTTGCTAAAGTTCATCGAGATCCGTTCAGCCGTTCTAGAGATACCTTCAAACAAACATCCATCTAAACATTCGCATTTATAATATTAGTAAGATTAAGAAATTTTGATGATAATTCTTCACCAAATATAGCTTTCACCAACATCGTCGTGCGCCAAATTGATAGAACGTTGTATGTGGAAGTCGAAGATATATCGTTGCGAACAATTATTCCAGCAAATAAAAACCGGCTTCAATATATGTTGTACATTTAATTATTTTGCAATTAAAACAGCAGAGGGAAAGCGCAATGCGTAAGTATTATTTATAAAAAATATGTAAATTTAATTTGGTAAATAAAATGCGTATATTGGAACTTACTTCAAAGTTAAGCGTCCATAGGCTTTTTTACTTTTTAACTAATAAGCCTCTGATTTATCTTCGTACCATACAATATTGGAATTTTCCACTACCTACTTTTTACCTGTGTTACCTAATGTTGCACAAATAGCGAAATGAGCGTTCGCCATAAGACTCCCATAAGTTTAAATGCAGACATGTTACCAATTACAACGGAATTTTACTTTCCTTCACATCTCGTTCCCTGCCAAACTAATTACACAGTCCCGTTAACAGAAAAGAGAGGAAAAAGGTACAGGAAGAATCTTGTTTTTATTGTATTTCTTTTTTTCAGCGATCTAATTTACATGCCTACACCACGTCGAGTCGCGTCTTGTGGGTATGAGACAGCTTTGACAGTTCTGATTAGAACAGAAATCGATGATTATTACAGTACAAACTTGGCAACGACTGGAACCCTGGTAATAAATATACATCTTAAATGTCTACTGCCTTGATACTTGTAACACGGATGTTCACAAAAATACCCAGTGGCAAATCAAAGTTTAAAATTCGTAAACAAAGTGTCTGGAAGTCATGTGTTAAATTACCTTTTTTTTGCAATAACATACGGTATAACACCGGCAACATAATTCCATATCAATTTCTACACAGATTTTCGAATTCTATAAAGACTTTTTTTTTTTTAGAAAAAGGCATTTTAAATCAGGTGTAGATGGCCAGTATATAAGATATTCTCTTCAATTACCCTTAGTTTACAAGTATATTTTGATATTTTATAATCACTACTTAATTTGATTTTTAAGGAACGCGTTTTCGATGCAATATTCAAAGATAAACAAATAATCGCATTTGTTTTATCAATACAGAGATAACGCTTGTTTGTTCCGGGTTAAAAATAATATTTATTGCAAAGTAGCTGTCGCCCGCGACACCGTCGGCGCGGAATTAAAAAAAAACTTAATTAGTAGCCTATATGTTTTTCCAGACTATATATTCTATATCTGTCAAATTTCACCGAGATCTATGCAAATGTTCTGAAGATACCTTCAAATAAACATCTATTCATCCATCCAAACATTCGCATTTATAATATTAGTAAAAAGTAAGATTTTTAAATGAGGCCAGAAAGTACAGATACCGAAAAGGGTAAAGATTGTTAGCTTTTGAATTTACTCAATTTATTCTTAGGTAAGTCGTCATCAACACCATCATCATCATCATCCACCCTTTGTCTGCCCACTGCTGCACGAATTTATTATATTGTGCAAGAAATGTCTTCAAGTTTCAATATAAATTACAGGATAGCACAGGAATATTCATAATGTGTTTACTTTGTCGCGACATTCGTTAACAAGCGAACCATGAAATATTGTTTTTGACGTGTAAGGACACCAGTGCCTGTTTTCACTAAACAATTAGCCGCGTGCGACTGCCTACTAATGTGATTTAATACAGCATAGCATCCCCGGCCAGAGCACGCGTGGTTAATCGCAAAGTGGAAACAGGTACTAAGGTCATATGCATCTTAATTTATTTAAAATAACTGGCGCCATATTGATGGCGACGGTGTCTGCTCTGTATCGATGGTGGTGTAAAATAATGACTCATAATCGTAGCTCAAGTATTTTCTACTGCATTTTCAATCTATTTAGTGCTTTCGAACAACAGATGGCGCTAGAGACTACGTTTTTGGTAAAAGCTCACTGTTTAAATTATTTAAAGAGTGAGGTTTTAACAAAAACGTCTATCTATCTATAACATCTACTATTTACTAAAATGTATTTTTGAATATACTTGTACTAAAGTTACAAAAATATATTAGCAAGTGTAGCCTTACGGTAGTTATAATAAAAATGATTATGTATTAATCGCGATGTATCGTTCACGTATCATTTTTTTTATACCAATATCCTTATTGTCAGTGTTAGATACTGCGCATAATTTTATCTTTTAAATACTAAGATAAAAGTTTTCATTGAAGATAGGATAATATATAATAGTTTTTTTTTTATAAATAAGCGAAAACATGTGTCTGATTATATTTATATAGTTGTTAATATACATATGAAAGTAGCAGATAGAAATTATTATACATAAATCTAAATTTGAATACGAACCTTAAATATGCATATTCTGCAAACAAAAGCTTGGTACTAATTAAGCTCAGTTTTGTGTTAAAGCGTATTTCCGAGTATAGAACGTAATGTTTATCCCTAGAGAACAGTTTGAAATTCTAGGAACAAATAAAGGTTGATTTATAACAAAATTTACTTGTTCTGTACGTCAGATTTTTGGTATTGTAAATTAAATACTGTTATTTTTGTATGTCGACTATGTTTTAGTTAACAATAATCTGATTTTGTTTGAAGGTAAGGTTCACTAAAATCTAAAATCTAATCGTTCAAGCATTATGACTTTGATTGACACTAGAAATCGGCCCTGATTTAACGCTCGGAAAATGAAAAAGTTTCCTTTAATGTGCATCATCTACCTTTCTGTTAAGGTCTCGATAAAATTTGGTCAAGTTTTTCCGGAACAAACGCGGCCTTGGGGGTAGACAGACAAAAAAAATGGTAACGCATATAAATCATGTTAGTGAAATATAATCAGTATTTAGGTCAATAATTCCTAAACGCGAACCCCCTGGTGTCCACGGGATATCCAGAAGATCCAGCAGTGTTCAATGGCTGGGTAAAATTGAGGGTTCAATAGTTAAAAACTAAATTTGTTAGCAAACGAAAAAAAAAACCTTTGAGAATCTCTGTATTTTGTCATTGCAACGAATGGAGAGTACAGCTAGTAATTGTATATATAAATAAAATCAAATTACTGACAATACAGTTACAATTATCCTTTGTGATTAATTCGCTGAATCCGTATTAATTAAATTAGTGCGCCGTGAGCTCGTGCTGTTTTACTGTTATACTAAAAGCAAATTACAAATTTGTATTATAACTATATCAGCGAAAGATGAAACGTATCTAACTAAAGCTTAAAAATATCAGTTTTAAAACGTCGTTATCAACGAAAATGTAATCGACAAATTTTATTGTCTATTTCTTAATGTAGCTCTACCATTTCATGAAATGGCCGGTCAAATTATGAAATAGCCTATTCTCAGATAAGGTCAATTTGTACAGATAAAAAATTGCATTAGGAAACAAAATTATGTTCCCCTAAAAATACTTACATAAATAAAAAATAAAACTGTCACTAGATGGCACCACTTTTTACGTTAGACACCTTTTATGAAGTATATTTTTAAAATGCCATTGCTTTAAAAAAAAAATACCAAAAAATATTATAACTCGATTGTGATTATTCTATCTACGAAAGGCTTCCGTACCGGAACCGTACTCAGGATCCGTAAGCTGATGACCTTCAGAGGTAAATATTTTTAAGGCCACCTACAAACGAATGTATGAGAACAAAGGGGGTATAGTAAAATTTTTACTAAAGTAGCCCAAGTTATAGACAGTTCACCGGAATCGAAACTCGCTATTTATCAATCCAGTCGCTATGCTTAGAGCTACGCCTCTTTACATTCCTTTTGACGTCTCTGTTTCATTTCCAGTCGAAGTTCAAAAGTCGAATTTTCAGTTTAATACATTTTTTATATGAAAAGGCGATAGATCAGTGAGGGGTCAGAATTCGCCGAAATAGCGAAGCGACCGTTGACTACCTTAACTTGACGGAGGACGGTTCTCACAGAAAGACGATATTTCCTCTTCATATGCATCTTTCCTGTGTCCAACTAACTTCCTCTTCTCCTCCTTTCCTTATAAGAAATGGGTGGAAAGGGAAAGGGGGCTAAAATTAGGCAAACGTCGCGCAAACAATATCATGTCACTTTATTTTCTAGTAGTAGGTGTCCGCGACCTCGTCCGCGGGGAATTAAAAAATCTTTAAAAAAAAATTAGCCTCTATCACCCGGGGTTAGCGTAGCTTGTCAATGGAAGAATTTTTCAAATCGGTTCAGTAGTTTTGGATTTTATTAAATGCAAACAATTAAAATCTATCTCTCTTTATGACATTAGTATAGATATTTCAGTATATAATGTACATGTGAAATTCGAAAAATATTTAGCAAAGATCGAACTCGGACCTGTACTCTAACGCCGTCACTGAGTCGAGTACTTAAACCTCTTTGCTATCGATGCCGAGCTTCATAATAATTTTCATAAAATAAGTGTTAAAGTGAAACAGTGTAGTACCGTGAATTGAATTTATAATAACTTAACTATACTTTTACAAATTATTTCGTTAGATTAAAATGAATCAGAAGATGTTGCAAGAACCTTATCGATTAATTATTGTCGCGCTGCGCGGCGCGGCGCGGTGGCGTCGCTTTGTCACCTCGAACTACCTATAATTCCAAACCCATTAACCTTACATGTCACGTCACAATGTGCGTTAAAGTGAAACAAAACGCGTAGGTCAGAGCTGAATAATTTAATATGGAACATGGAAAATTTTATGCCCTGCTAAATACGCAGCTAAAATTCATTTTATATTTTAAATTCTACCAAATCATTCGATCGCTGGAAAATAAGACGTGTTTATTATATTAAATTTAAGTTTTAATGGAATAAGATTTTTTTTTTCAAACGAACAAGTTTTTATAGTTAAAACACTTAGTTGTAAAGTAGCTTAAGTATAAGTAGTAGTAATCATAATATTAGTATGTGATGCAAAATTACTGGCCCGAGCCGGACGCACCGCACGCAACGTACGCACGGCCGCAACGGATTTTAGCGCTGCGTCCATCATCCGCTCGGCGCGTCTCTAGAGACGGCATATATCAACAATCCGTTGCGGGCCGTGTGTGCGGTGCGACATGCTACAATTTCTTGACCAAGTATACATTTTTAGTTTGTATGTTGCCTTATGATATTATTGTTTCATGCTTAGGATTGATGAAACTTTATTTATTATCGAACGATAACTTTGATATTTTTTTTTATCTTTTATTTTCTACTCCTGTTATTGATTAATAGCATCGAATGTATTTCTAACTATAAATATCTATTATTATCTATTAAAATCAACACATAAATGAGCGTCGTTGAACACCTCTGTGTTCCCGCTGCGTTTGCCCCCTTCTGTTATAAAAAAAATATATACGTTTAATTTATCTGTGTTATTACATTGTCTTAAGAGATCCGTTCAGCCGTTGTAGAGATAACTTCAAACAAATATCCATCCATCAAAACATTCGCATTTATAATATTAATAAGATTCGTATTTTAAAAAGGCAAAGGCATTCAGTAAAATATATATAAAGTTGCCTTCGAATGTACCATTGATAGTTACTTACCTGATTTATTGCGTAGCAATTTCACCCTTAATTAGGGGTAGCTTCGAGCGACTCGAAGACGACGACGAGTTGCTAATTAAAAAAGAAATAGCAACATTGATACTTTTAGACGGTCTTCTTTTTATAGTAATTGAAAGCAGAGTATTCCGTAGCAAAATTTTCTTGATAAAAAAAAATTGGTGCAATAAAATGTTATTATATAAAAGATTTTGTAATTTAAAGAAACGGAACTCACGTGTATGTAATCTTAATATTGTAAGTGGATAATATATGCGTCAATTTAATAATCAGATTGTATTTAATGCAATGTTTCGATTGGATGATATCGTTCGAGGTGAAGTTGTTAAAATCTATTATTTTTTAATTAATTAAAATAGATTAAAATGTCGATTTCGGATTTGATTTTAAAATCGAACGAGGAAATAAATGTTAATACAGCACTGATGTACTTAATTGTGTATTTATACATACATTTATAAAGTCCAGTCCGATATTAAAATCTTCATACATCATTTTGGGCTAGTCATGTGTTTTTTGTGTGTCGGGAACCATACGATACATCATTTCATTAGGGTATACGGCTTTTAAAGGACTTAAAAAAGGAAGTACGAGAGCCGTATGCTGAGCTTATTTCTCCGTATTGAAATATGAGTTTGCTTGAGATATTTTTTTATAAAATGTCCACTAGATGGAGCAAGTAGTCTTAAAAGGACGCTATTCGTCTTAATTTCAATTTTGCGCTTTGTTCAATTATAATGCTAAAAGGTTTTTTTTGTAAGAGGGGATACAGTTTTAAGAATTAATTTGACTATTGAGTTTATTTTAGTAATCGGCCTATTTTAATTAATATATTCATTAAATATACAATAGATGGCGTTGGTAGTCTCAAAAATGTGTTAGAATGCAACAAGTTTTATAACCCGAAGCCGATTATCCCTCAGATAAAGTACGTGCTCAACAAAGAGCAATTGGCGCGGTAATAAATTGTTTGCCCAAATACAATGCAACGTACTTGCTATAACTTTTGATAAGAGATCCATTTATTTGTTCTTTTTCTGTATATCAAATAAAAGTTGACTATCCACATACAAATTAACTATCTACATTTTTCTACGACTTATTTAATTGCTTATTTATCATGAGCTGAAAGCTTTAATTAATGGAGCGTAGCGTAGCTTTTCAACTGCAAAAACGTATTGCACAGAAATACACAAACATAAATCATTGTTTTACATGATTGATTTATTTTGCATTAGTAATTAAAATCTACTATAGCAGTAACACGGAATATCAGATTATTACTTGTTGTTTAGGAAATTGTGTGTCTTGTTCAGCCATGAGACAACGACTGCTGGGCGTAGTCTTTCCCCAAAAATGTTCGGGCCTGTGCTACCCGTATCCAGGATACTCCCACAACCTTGACCAGATCAACAGTCCATTTCGCGGAAGGCCTGCCCACGTCGAGTTTTATATTAATCTTATCTTACTAATATTATAAATGCGAATGTTTGGACGGATGTTTGTTTGAAGGTATCTCATTAACGTCGGAACGGATTCCGCTGAAATTTGGCACAGATGTAAAACATTGTCTGGAAGAACACATAGTCTACTAATTATTTTTTTTTAATTTCCGCGCAGACGGAGTCACGGGCGATAGCTAGTATATCATAATGTGTTATTTTGTTGTTCAGGTTTTTATCGACAACGCCTACAATGTGCCTGATTTCGATTCAACGTTACGTCTAGTAAATCCTATGACAGAAGTATTACTGGCGCTATCACCTGAGCGCACTTATACAACACCAGGCTTAAAGTCATTCACTATTGAGGAAAGGCAATGTTATTATAATGATGAGGTGAGATTTTTATCTTATTAATATTATAAATGCGAAAGCTTAGATGGATAGATGTTTGTTAGAAGGTATCTCCGGAACGGCAAAACGGATCTTGCTGAAATTTGGCGTAGATGTTGAACACAGCCCTGAAGAACACATACGCGACTTATTATTATTTTTTTACTTCCGCGCAGACGGAGTCGTTAGCGACATCTTATTATATAATAAAGAGGTACGGTGTAATGGAAAGTCTACGTTAAAGACAATGATATGTTTTTATGGAAATGTTTCTGCAGTGCGAACGTATCTTGATACATATTTTTCTTTTTTTCTGTTTAATGATAACACATTCCGCATTGAGATAATTATATGATTATGTATTTAATGTATATTCTTGACCCCCAAAGTTATTATGTAATTTATCATACTAAAATATTTTATCATAAAATACGCTATATGTTTATAAAAGTATTTAAAGCACGAATCACGTATAATTTTTTTACAGAACTATTTAATATATATCAATTATGTTGTGTCATTTGTTATTTGTGATCGGGATTTAGCATTTCTATTTATTTTATTTTTATATACTATTCCGCTTTATTACCCAAATGCAGTCTTGTTTTTTTAATAAAAAAAAACTATTGAACATATCGCAATCTTTTAGTCTTCAATATCCATATTATTCGTGAATAATGTATTAAATATTGATGTATATTATTAAAAGTTCCTAATAATGATGATGAATGATAAAGGAAAACATCGTGATACAACCTGCATCTGAGAAGAAATTCAATATGTGTTAAGTCAACCCGCACTGGGCCTGCATGGTTGACTATGGTCTAGTCACCCGTGACTTAGGGTAGGCCCCGAGCCCCTCAGTGGAGATGTATAGTTGCTGATGATGAGTTAATATAATACGCAAATATAAAGACATGATCTCCCATCTATTATCAGGATTTACAATAATCTTGTTATAAGAATGGTGTGTTAATTAATACTTTTAATTATGATTGATCGTAAGATGGTAATCAATTAATATAATATCATTTTTTTGTTATCAATGTTCGTGAATTTACGGTTCATGGCTGATAATAACATTCTAGTGAGGTCTGGTATCGGACATTGTATTGTTTCAAATCGTATTATATTATAGAGAGAAAATATACTGGAAAATACAGTAAACATAATCCATTATGCAACACAACCACACAGACTCTGAAAGGTTATACGCGAGTGTGTAATTTATTTATGTTGGTTTCTTGTAATTTTCATTTTGACCGCAGTCTAAACCATTTAACCGATTTTGTTGAGTAAATAGTTTGGTTATATATCTTTCCTGTATGTTATAGGGTCAAGTAGAAGTCAACCGAGTCGCAGTGAGTTTGGTTGACTATGGCCTTGTCACGTCTAACATAAGGCAGGCACGAGGCCTCGAGAGTGGGAAAGTCTCGGCGATAACGCGATGTCCACGCGTTGTGAATGGTGGACGGTCGTGATTAAAAAAAATAAAGATGCTGTTATTCGAATTATTATCAATATATATATTTAAAAAAGCTAGATATATAATGATTATCACTCACGTTGCGACTTTAGTTTTATCGCCAGTGATATGAGGCTTTCAGTTACATAAGCATTAATTTGCAATTTTTAGACGAACATTTTATCAAATAAGAAAAAATATCCTTTGAAGAAATATATTTTTTAATTAACTTGCTTCACGTTTCAAATAATCCCTGCTTTTATTCACATATAAAGTAATATCGTCCGAGCACAAATTAATGTTTACCAACGTTCTCTAATGGATTCTTTCTACGTATGATTGAAAACCACGATGTACTCTGTAGAGTTGGATTTTTTAATTTAAACAACTTTTTTTATACGCTAAATACAAGTTGGGTTGCTTTGTCGAATTTATGTTTGAAATTTCTTTGTAAATCATTAACATTAATCAATCAATGATTTTCATCAAGCGATTGTATATTTTTTTAATAATATGCGTAATCGTGAAGCAATTGACGTAAAACTAAAATTGATAAGTTTTTTATTAATCCTCATATCACATGCTATTAATGCGTTCTCTTTGAATACAGTTGGTATTATTTTAGTCAGTGTCTAACTTTTATATTTATCACGAAACTTAATGTTGTTCACATCACTCACGTAAATATAAGGAATATTTCCAACTTAGCCATGCATCAGGGCACTCCGGTCGACACGACGCGGCGTAAGCTCTGCGTCATGCTTTCAACAATTGACCGACCAATCTTATATGTAAAATTCTAGGTTACAATGTTAGTAACCGTACTCCTCCGAAACGGATTGATCGATTTTTATGAAATTTTATATGCATATTCAGTAAGTTTGAGAATCGGCTATTATCTATTTTTTATAAAGGTTAGCATGAATGACTGTGCGGTACACGAGGCGTCAATGCGTTCATGGTACGGCCACAGAGAGAAATGTCAACGACGCGTAACTGTGCGAATTTCTATGTGATTGTATTGTGTTAATCGATTAGCGATTAAAATTGTTTTCGAAATTTACATCGTCTTGTGTACGAAGGACCTTAAAGTAATAGATGTAAGGGTAATCAATACTTACTGAAGATAAATAATAGATAAAAAGAAAAACCAAAGAATTCGACAGACTGATATAATTATCATATATCAACTACATGTCGAGGAGATTAGAAGTCTTTTGACAACACACTAAAAATCGTACGCTAAATTAATGCTAAAGAAAAAAAAATATTCAAACTTTCGTTAGACTTTATCATTACTTAATATATGAACGGCTTAATCACTCACGTATGTTCGTCCGGTGACGGCACCGACTAGTTTAGAGCCCATTGGTGGGCTATTGTCAGGGTAAGCGACGGTACGTGTCCGCGAAATAATATCAGTCCCACTACCCCTATGACCCCCTCTATTGAAATTCTTTGAATCACTAGTAAAGAAGGACAATATTGAACAATAGTTTTCTTTACTAAAATGTATTTCTATAAATTCCAATACAGAATTGAACTGCAATACAATTCTCTGTAAAAGGATCGTTAACGTTAATTAAATAACATAAAACTAAATAGTTTGCGACGGTAAAACCTTGTCCGTGGAATTGAATTTTATAAGCTTGTTAAAGTGACCTTCATTTTACCTCGGATAAGCGATGCTTATTTTTTTAGTTAAATTACCCTTTATAAAATTATAATATTAGATTTAAAATAGAAATTGTCTTAAAGTTTTGTGTTAATATACAAAGACTTTTTTTTTTATAAAGAAGCAGATGAACACCTCCGTTTATGTGAAATAATCCGAAGTCCATGGACATCGACTACACCGGAACAATTGCAGATGCGATATCGTCCTTTTAGGGAGTAGGTTTTTTCCTGACAGACTCTTAGCTTACGGCATGCAATAGATAAGTTCTCAGAAGCCCGGTAGGTTACTATAATAGTATTACTATGCTAAGAAAATATCGTCTGGCTGAAAGCTCGTTGAGAACCATTTTTTTTTACTTTTTATTGAAATGTCGTTTAATGTTTACAAAGTAATTAGATTAAAAATTTGTCATAGCATTAATATGTTATAACTCGTAGGGCGAATTTGCTTTCGATTTTCGATCCGAAGTGGAAAGAAAATTAAACATTTTACTGTACGTATTTATGTGGTACTACGTGCGTATAATGCTCCAGTCTCTGCGGCGCTCCGAATGATCGAAACTTTTCATGCTTGCTTTAATTTGAGCTACGTATTTTATGCTACTATGATTTTACCGATAATTATAAAAGCTGTGAATTGGCAAATATTTTGTCACAAGGCGCAACTTTTTGAAATATGGGAATAGAAAATTTAAAACGTAAAATTTTACCACGCTTTTTATTTGTTTTTGTAGAGTTGAAGTTATCGCGAAAGATGGTACTCGGATAACATGATTAATTATAAGTTTGCAACGGTACTTCAGGAAATTGAAGTAACTTTAATTTGCCTTTAGCATCAAAACGCTTTTCAAACGAGTCAACATGTAAAAGACGTTTAAATTTTAATTAATCCATCCGTCTTATTTACATTGTTGGAATATTTGCTTCAGTTCATTTAGTGATGTTGAAGTTTCAAATTGCACAAGCTACAATTCTGATTTGCAGACCAATTAATTAAATCCTTGCATGCAGCCTTTGGCATTTGTTCCGGTTACATGTAACTAAACGTGGAGTAAAATTGTCTGATCTCTGTTTATTCTTTCTAATGAATGTATGCATTCTCTTGTTTTCCTCTATTATTCTAGACCATTTTACATGAAATTATTTTCTTGAAAATGATAACCATTTTTCCGCATTATCACCACTTGTGCGATTTTCTTCCTTGAATATATTATACTTATTTTAATTTTTTGACCGACTTCAAAACGAAGTCCGTCGTCCAAGTCATTCGTCTGTAGTCTTTCTTATGTGTTAGTTACTACATAACTCCTAGTGCTTCGATTTTTATAATTCTTTTTTTAATAGAAATATAATTGATAATTCTTGTCACATCATCTATTTATATTAACATACGAATTAACAGATAATAAAAAAAAACTGAAGTACATGCAACAGCTATTATGAAGAGGTTACACGTGTTTATAATGCAATCGATCGATTCCCACTTAAGTTACCTCGAGAGAAAATTTAATTAAGTGTTCGGCGAGAGATCGATACTATGCAAGATATGTACAGAGGTCAGCTAGTAACTGTATAATATTCCACGCGCTGATAACCTAATGGAATTGTTAGGGCACGAGGACGAAATAGAGTTACGAAGCGCACTTTTAACTATCGATCGGCTGACTACGCCGAACTATGCACGAACAGCGTAATAAAATATAATAAAATTTCAATCCATTTTGTTATTACGCGCACGTTTGAAAAATAAATATATGTGTATAGAAAGGGATAGATATATTTTTGGCATTATTCAATAATAATTTTTTAATCTTTTTTTTTATTAATTTCAGGTAAAAGTTGGCGATTTCGAACAGTATTCGTTTCATAACTGCAGAGCATATGAATATATAAAAATAATAAAAAGTATTTGTCAGTGCATACCTTACTATTTTCCTATACAAAACAAAGGTAAGATTTTTAAATGAAAATGCAGATATTACAAGATTCAAACTTTATGGCGGATCATAGTTGGAGGAAAACGTGCCCTAGTGTGCCCGGTGTTGCATTAGGCCTGCCGTTAAAATTGATTTCGGTCCTTCGTACGATATTCCGATCCGTCATAAAATTTGTATGGCACTGTAACAACTAAATAACTAAACACGTTAAATATATATCAATTTGTGATCGACAAACATCCCTTTGTTTTGATTTAATTTATCACATCCTTAAGTGTAATATTGATCATAAAGAGAACATTGTAATATTATTCCGTTTTTATTTCAGAATTTGTCCGACCTTGTAATTTTAAAGACATGCAATGTCTCGAAAGTGTTGTAGGTAAAGTATAACGATTGCTTTAGTTTTATATAATTATTTATTCCTTACATTACTTTTCCTGTACACGTTTAGAACGATATAAAGTTTGTTTCTAATGATAAACTTTTTTTTTCATTTTTACTTTATCATTTCTATTCAACTGTGAAACAAAAACAATTGCGTTCTCGATACGCAACTTCAAAAATGTTGTAACACCTATGTTATGCACTCGTAATTTGTCTGCAATTTCCCCTACATACTGACATCGCAATATAATTACGACAGCTACTATGAGTTATAAGTCAGCTGGATGAAAATGAAAATAGAATTATAAATGAGTTCGGATTCTCTGAATTCTACTCTACATCAAACACAGTTTCCTCGCCGGAGATTATAATGAAAAGTACCTACATACCTACTTACCTACCTTTCCTTGGACACAAAACCAGTGTTAGCTGTTTATTCAACCACTATTTCTTTATATAATTACATGCCTTAACGTGGGTTTCTGAGATCAAAATCCCTGTTACAAACTTATTGTTATTTTTGTTTCGTTAAAAATAACAATAATGACGATATGTTCTATATAGAGATTTGGGCTTCAGAAACCAACGGTAAAGCACATATTGTTACATTGAATTTTTTTTTTTCAAAAAAAAAAAAATTGGTCATAATGTCACAATATTGTGATATTTATGGCTGACTTAAATTATTTATAAGCCTAGGTCTGAGATTGGCGTTTTTCTGTATGTATTTTTTAAGGCAGATTTTAATCTATGAAAGTGTAGAATTCGAGTGTCATAGTTGTTGTGATACACAAGAGAATTAAATACAGTAGAGTGGTTGTATGAAAATATAAAATAAGTTTTTTTCTACAGTACCACTACAAGACGTGACCGTCCGCGATAAAATTTTAAAAGACTTCACTAAATGTTTGCCGGAATGCGAGCATTTTGATTACCCACTGGAAGTGGCATTTGGTCAGTTGGCAATGAACTTGCCGTTAAATAGACTACCTTTGCTGTAAGTTACTTGAAAATGGCTTAGTAAATTCATCTCGCATTATGAACTTCGTTAGTTTAAGAACATCGTCAATGTACTTACCGACGAAGTTCATAAAGCTTTATCAGATTACTGTCTGATTGATTTTTTTGAATAATTGTGCTCTTGCAAGGGGTTTTAAAAGAAAAGAAAACTATGGTTCATTTTTTTTATGTTTTACTCATTATTTTATGGTTTTTACAGACATCATGTTAATTTGGAGAATCGATCTTTGTTGAATGTGTTTTTCAATGATTTAGTATCTACAAGGTATCGTCGCGACGTTTATTTAAATTGGCAAAATATACTTGGTATGTAATACTATCCATCTTACCGTGGATTTCTGATACCAAAGTCTCAGATTAAAACATATTGTTGTTTGTCAAAGATAAAGACAGGGATGTCGTTATGTTTTATACAAAGAATTTGGTCTCAGGAGCCAACGATATTTTTATAAATAAAAATCAATGCTTGTATTTTCCTGAATTACTGATTCGAATAATGAAACAGTGGTAATGAAGAAGCTGACAATCAGTGTAGTAAATCAATTCCAATGCATATAATTCCATATAAGGTTGTATTTATAACTATAAATGGTCATCACCATTATTATTGAACCTTATAACTTGTATTACATTTTTAAATACAGGATGTAAGTAAATAATTTTCGATACATGTTGTTATTGTACTTTTTTACTTCCTTTCTCAAGTGAGAAAACGGATCTATTCTTTTACTGTTCGTCCTCTGTCCCATCCATTAAATGTAAGGTAATGATTGTCACCATTTATCTTACTGATATGTGTGAAGTCAACCAACCCGCACTTGGCCAGCGTGGTTGACTATGGCCTAGTCACCCCTAACTTTGGGTAGGCTCGGAGCTCCTCGGTGAGCTGATGATGATCTTACTGTAGATGTAATAGGTAGTGGTAATGTCGCTCTTTTATCGAAATCAGTGACCGCTTGCTTCTATCAATGAATATCATACATATTGTAATGCTAAATAAATATTTTGCAGCTTCCTTTGGCGGGTTGTTAAGTCTGATGCTTGGCTTTACTTTAATATCAGGCTTCGACTTTATATTATTTTTTACATTTCGTATGTTCTACAATACATCAAATCGAGTGGAACCGGACAAAGATAGTTACAGATACAAACAGGCAAAGAGTAACCTTTTATATGTGACGGAAGCTAAAAAACAAATTATGGCAAATAGAAATAATAAAGAAATTTACAACTGGCTTGAAGACGTACATAAGGCAGAAAAGTATTAAGACTACATAGGATAGTTATCACTGAATACCTTAATATTGATATCCCTTTAATTATTTGAAAGCAAATTGAAATAGTAGTATGTTTTTGTACTTGTGTTTGGGCAGTGAAAACGCACATTTTGTACGACTTCGTAATGTCAACATAATTTTGATATCTTCTATTGATATGTTTAGTTTCACTGAAAATATGGATGTTCGTTGAGTTTATAAACATTTTAGTCGTGTCTTCATGTGGAAATAATGTTGTTAAAAGTTTTCACTTCTGCATTCGACGTTTGTTAAAAGTTTAGTAACTTTGTATATTTAGTTAAAGATAGTTGTTTGTTATGCGAGTGTTTATTCTAAAGGTTCACCTTGACTTTAGTATAAATGCAATGAATAGAATATAATTATGTGTGTAATTTATTACTTAAATTTTTATTAATATTTTTCTGATTAAAATGTTTTTGCTATTAATTGTTAACAAATAAAGTTATTAAAACAATAAAATGGGTATTTTATTTTTAATAATTTTATAAATGCGAATGTTTGAATGGATGTTCATTTGAAGGTATCTTCAGAACAGCTGAACGGATCTTGATGAAACTTGGCAAAGGTGCAGTAGATTTATATTTTGGATTTAGTTTTGTTAAATAATCCTATTTTCGAATATTTTTGTATTGGCGATGTGAAATGTGTAAATTATTTTAATACGAATATACACTCTATATGTATATATTTGAATAATATATTTATCACAATGAATATCTTAAATAATACAGATAAGAGCAATTAAAAAAAATGATAATTTTTAATTAACGTCAGTGAATCACGATACTTATGTGTGGTCATTAAAGTTTTATTTGAAGGAGAGAAACCTTTATAAGCGAGAGATGACCGGTCCCGAAGAATGACCTTTACAGGCGAGAAATATCGCGGTCTCTTGGACTCTCGCTTATTCAGATTCACTGTAATTTCCACATTATTCGATCCACAAACTAAATAGAGCTGCCGTGTGAAGCAACCAGATTTTATAATCAGAAGTTGATAGCACGTTTTTTTGAGGTGCTCACTAAAGTAAAATCTCGAATCATTTTGAAATTATAGATTATAACGATGGCCCGCGACTATGTCCGCGCGGATTTGAAAAAAAAAATTAGTGGCCTTAGTGTTCTTGCAGACTATGTTCTATTTGTATGCCAAATTTCATTGAAATCCGTTCAGCCGCTCTGGAGGTAACTCAAACAAACATCCATCCATCTAAAAAATCGCATTTATAATATTAGTTAGATTAGTCTACAGTTCTTTTTTAATTAAGACTCACACTTTCTTGTCTATTTGTTCGAAGCTTAAAAAATAGTGAACATCTAAAGTGCTTGCGAACAAATTTTCTGCGACCGTGAAAATGTAACGCTCGACGCCAAGGCTAAAAACGTTACAGCGATAATTGACTTAGTATCCTAATCACATTGCACGAGCTAACGTCCACATCGAATTTACGATATACGTAACTAAACTAAAATTTTGATCCTTCGAGTCGGATAAAATTAAAAATGCTAAGAGTTGAGATATCAAGACATAGGCGTAATTAATTTGTAGTTCACGATAAATACTGTCAGAATATTTAAATAATTTATTAAAGAATAGTTGTCTGCAACCTCTTATGGTCAGGTTAAAACCCAGCCTAAGCTGACCCCAGTCTTATATGATCAATCAAGCAAATCTGAGGTCTACTTACACTGGTCACAAAATCTCCAAAACTGTCACAACTCTAGACACGGCGTTTACACGGAATAAATAAGAGTAAAATAATTTTGAAAAGTCAATCAACTTAATCACTAATTTTTATTTCTATAATCTTATCTGTTTGCAAAATATTTAAAACTGATTTGAGATAACGATTAATTTGACAGCCCTGAAGTTTCACAAATCTTTCCCAATACAATTACAATTCAACTGTCGACACGCCCCTTTAACCTTTGGTTTCTGAGAAAAAAATCTCTGTATAAAAAATATGGTCTGGTAAACAGAGATAGCGTTTTAAAGTTATTTTAGTCTCAGAAACACACGGTAAAACATACAATAGTCATAACGCTTAGTTACAGATAATATAGTATTTAATGAGACGTGCTGATGTTTTCGCGTGACCAAGTTATTCGAGGTGTTTGTCACATTTCCGCATACAATACTCAAGCTATGTGATTATTAGTACAATTATTAGCAAGATGGCAGGAAAATACTTTACCATCGATGCACCATTCATGCATATTATTAAAATTGTATGTAATTTTAGACATTATTAGTTTGAATCCTTTGGCGCGAATGACGTGCTTTCATTACCAAGTCAATTGTCAGAATGATTAGTGAGGGGACATAAACGTTGACATTTTAGTAAGGCTAGTGTTGTGCCAGTACAGTACAGTGTCAGATTTTTTCCCAGCAGTATGGTAGTAGAAACGTGTTTACTTAAGCTGTGTCCCACACTATGATAGATATACGTAACAATTTTTTTTTAATTGTTTCTTGATTTATTATAAATTGCAATACTAATAAGCACGTGCTATGTCACCACGGGGAATAAACTTTTGCCGGGGAAAAGAACTACTAATGTCGGTTTTATAATTAATTAGCTAACAACCGCGACACGAAATTAAAAAAGAACTTAATATATAGCCTATGTGATCTTCCAGACTATGTTCTACATCTGTGTAAAATTTCCGGAGATGTCTTCAAACACACATCCATCTATCCATCCAAACTTTCGCATTTATAATATTAGTAATATTAAGTTAGTCTTATTGAAGGTGAGAAACTGATGTACAGTTTAATGAATGCTTACAAAAAATATTTTCTTTTAAAATATGTTGAAGATTAGTTACTTGGTCGTATGAAATCGGACCTTAAATTCTTTTCTGCGCTCAAGGTCATTAGTTCCAGAACATTGTTAGCAATTGGATTTATTTTTCCAAATAACTATTTACCTGTGAAAAACAAATTTTCATTAATAGTTAAATAACTTAATTCTTACACCCCACGCCCGTGTTTTATTGCATTGGTACTGTAAATATAGAATGTAAATAAAAACTAGTATTTCACTATTTCATATTCGATTTGTAGTTTCAAACTAGATTTTAGTTTTATTTGGTTCGTGCCACGAGACCTAAAATACTGTCAAAGTAATCCTGACACTATTGCGAAACAAATCAAACATTCGCTGACAATATTGCAGGAATATTCGTTTTTCGGGAACTGATCTCTGTTTCAAAGAGACGCTCGTATACGCAGGAACGGTCAAAGCAAATTAACAAAATATCCAATCTATACGACAGGTCGCCGTGAATTTCTCCGTAGAAAAAAGTAGCTTGTTTTTTATTTTATTTATATCTTTATTTTGTCAATGTGATAATATAAATTTTTATATAGTATTTGGTTATGCAATTAATAGATTCGTTCGTACCCGGATCGTTATAAATTCCATAATAAAAATGGGGCGTGAAAAATCAAAAAGATAATTTATAACAAATCACGAAATGGACAAATAGTAAACACAGGTACAAGAATAATAATTGTTGTCACTAATCATTACAAAGGGGCCTTATCAATTAAGATTATCATTTAAAAACCCTGGCGTTCGTATCTTTATTTCAGTGTTGACGATGAAATCCGCGCTGAATGCTGACTGAGAGTTATTGCAATTGTATTTGTTGTAAATCGATGATGTTTGTTTAATATTTAATTAGTATTATTGTGGACAGGTGTTCTGGATTTCGTGGAAAAGGTGTTTAAAGTAAGTATTAAGTGATGTGATTGCTGGGCGTATATTTATTTGCTAATGTCGCGTGCATAGCTTACAATAGCCACCAATAGAAATAGGTTATCGAGTCGTGATAGTGTTGCACTTTATTCAACGAGTGTAATTTTTTTTTATTTGTTTTGTTATTGATTTATAAAAGGATAAGTGTTAAACAAGTTTGTATTACACTTATGAGATATCTTAGTTTGTCCATGACAATCCCTTAGTATACAGTTTGAGATATTAATTACATACGAAATTGTTCGTATTATTGTATTCCAAGATGATTATTGCACCGCTTTGTGTGTGCACAATATTAAATACAATCTCTAATTAAACAAACATACGCGCGGTTCAATGAATTTGATATGTACATATATCAATGGTTTTCCTCATTACAAGTGTATTAGACATATATTTAAAAACAAATAATGCCCGGCATAAATACAAATAACTAGCTGTCGCCCGCGACTCCGTCCGTGTGGATATATAAAAAAACTTAATATATAAATAAGTTAAAAGGCATAAATTCGAAAAAAAATAGTAAATAGTATCCTATGTCCGTCTCCTGGCTCTAAGCTACCTCCTCACCAATTTTCAGTAATATCGGAAAAGCCGTTCTTTACGTATAAATAGTGTAACTAACACGACTTTCTTTTATATATAGATAGGTAATATAGATATAACTAAAAGGCACAAATTCAAATTATCTTCGTAATTTAGTTTGAACTAGCGTTCGTCCGCTATTCCGTTAGCAGAGAACTTTAAAAAGTAGTCTATATTACGCCCGAGTGCTGTCACTAGCATCCCGTCTAGTTCCGTCGTAATTGAACCAGTCGAATTTTTTGGACGAAAATTTTAAAAATTACTTTTTCGCTATCACCAACGCAAAGACATCTCGTACGAAATATATTGAATCGATATTTTTTGAAGACATTACAATTTTTATGTTAATAGTTTAAATTTAAGTATAACCATTAAGGTAAAAAGATATAACAATTATAATAATGACCATCTTTGATATTATGATATTTGAGTAAAGTATAAATAGAATGGTACATTTAATTTACCTTAATTATGAAAGTAATTAACAAAGGCTTGGAATTTTTTTACTATAAAAAATTAACATAGATTGTCAAAGAAATTATTCAATAAAATGTTGCGATGGAGAAAATCTCACGTAGAAAACATTATGAACGGATAATTCATAATGTTTTATTTTACTTTTTAGTTTCGTTACGAAAGTTTTATTAATTTAACGTGTTACGATTATATGGAAATTGTCAAAAACGATGCATTACACATAATTACAAATGAATTACTTGAAATTCTAAGTTAGATATAGGTTTATGTAACTTTAAATATAATAATTATATTATTTTAATTAAGTATATTACTTTACTAAAATTTGTAACGGCAATCATACTAAATATACCTTAAGCTAAATTAATATCGAATTTTGTGTGAATTTATAATAGTTATCGTGTCACTACTAATAACTAACCTACAGCACTATTCAAACTTTATGCAATTCGTAAATCCGAGATGCGTCAAACAAAATTTTAGGTATTGTTCAGACGTAAAAAGATGTGAAATCCCCTTCCTCCCACCCCAGTGTGCGTTACCCTCCACCTGCTCCACCGACACGGACTCGCAGCAAACTGCGAGCTTTGAATATTACATTTCCGAGCGAATTTTAGATGGACGGCTGTTTGTTTGAAGGTATCTCTGGATCGGCTCAACGATTGTTGATGAAATTTGGCACACCTTTTTGAAAGGATGGGAAGTGGAAGTGGGCTTTCCGGATGACAGAATGCATGGAAAGGGAAGATATTTTCTTTCTGTGCACCCTCTTATCCGTCGATTAAAGGTAGGCAACTCATATGCAATTGCGTATGTCTATGGGCAGCAGTCACTTCGCTATTTCAGCGATTTCAAGTGGCCGCTCGCTCGTTTGCCACCTTTTGATATAATATATATATATATATATATATCAAAAGGTTCATATTCTTTATATATATATATATATATATATATATATATATATATATATATATATATATATATATATATATATATATATATATATATATATATATATATATATATATATATATATATATATATAAAGAATACAGTTTTGGTATACTATTAGTTTTAATAGTATTTCGTTTCTACGCTCAGATATGACTAATAGAGATTGGAAGTGAAGGACGTATTGTGCCGACCTTCCGTAGCGAAAAGGCCTTGATGATGACCGAAATCCGATGTTCAAACTATTTTTTATTTTTCTTGTCTATTATCTGTAGTGTAATCAGTAGTCATATCGTATAAAATTTTGCATAGCTTATAAATTGTTGCTATGGATAAGGTTTTATCATAAATGCATTCCAGTGTTATTAATTCAATCAGATACGCTGCATTTATGATAATGGCTGATTGGAAATAGGATGGAATACCCTTTTGAAAAGGTCGATGTCTTTAAGGGTTTCATACTTCAGGCCTTTCGACTTTAACGTGGGAGAATTTTTATAAGTATTAATACCAAAAAATTTGGTGTTCATCAATATAAAAGACTAGTTGTAGTCCGCGACTCCATTCTTATTTATTATTGTGTGTTATTATGTGTTTATTCAGACCATGTTCTACGTCTATGCAAAATTACAACGAGATCCATACAGCCGTTCCTGAAATACCTTGAAACAAACATGCATCCGTACATCTATCTAAACATTTGAATTTATAATATTCCATAATTCGAAATTCGTAGAATTTGTGGAATCCAGTTGTTATTCCAAACTATTCGACTGTGTTTGTTAACTAAGCATTGACTTAGTTGCACGAATAGGGTGTAAAATTCATGTTTCCTACTTAGAGTTTATTAAACATTCGAATGTAATTTTTTTTTATTTAAAATTTTAGCAGATTTAAAAACATTGATAAATAATGTCTATAATGCAATTACTCGTATAATTTAGAAACATGAAAAAATTTACATTTAGGCTAACAAATACTTATAAGAAGAATTAAGGAAATTATTTTAAAAAATTTCGTTCGATTTCGCGTCACAACACATTCGCTGCAATGCCTTTTGAGATTCAAACGGTTTTCCTTACATTTACAGTCTCGTACGCATGTTTTATTTTTTTTTCCCCAAGTACCGTGTTAAATTGTGTTAACAAATTTATATGTTTGTTGCAGATACAGTAGGGGCAACATTACAAAAACTTTAAAATGTACGCTGTCGCCTCTTTTTTAACAATATTAATTGTTTGTGCTACATCCAGTGTTACAGCGTTAGAAGATTTCAGTAAGTACATAATAAGTGACCTTTGTACTTTATACCCTTTTTAAGACCTTAAAAGGGGTATAAAGTTTAAGACTTTTTGCGGGACCTGAACGTGAAATTTGGACTCAGTTAAAGATAACATTGTCCGTAGTAGCATGGGCTTAAATTTTTAATTTTTTAATTCTGGCATTTTTTTTATTCGCTTAAGTGTGACATGTGTTATTACAATAACAAATTATGTACTTGATATATAGATCTGATTAATATCTAATATATTGATATCGCGAATAAACTTAGACGAAACCACTTATCTTAAAAGTGTATTTTATTAATATCTACAAAAGTACATAACGTTATCTGTGATTATTTGAGGCGGAAATGCTTAAGAATATAATGTTAGGACTAATTTGATATATAAATTATTAAAACGACATAATTACGTGTTAAATATATAACATCAAAATGTAGAATACGCCTTTAAACACACAATCATTGGTAAACGAATTCAATAAATTCTTTTTTATATTTGACACTCTAATATTATATGAGAAAAAGGAGAGTGTTAAAATTAAAAGACAAAGAAAACACTCTTCTGTTTATTTACTCTTTTTCAAACTTTGTAGATTGTTTCTTTTATAGAAAATAATAATAAAATGACGATTTCTCTTACTCAATGCATTACGTACGTGAGAAGGGGAAGGGGGAAATCTATAACGTTATCGCAAATAACCATGATATGTTTGCTAAACGTTCCAAAAATCGATGTACCGACAACCGAACGAACTAGATTACTTATTTATACCCGTTTCACACGAGGACAGAATAGTGATAATACAGTACTGCCATTGTTCAAACGCACATTTCTTGTTGTAAATTGTTCTGTATCGACAGTACTCCACTGTTAACTACTCTAGCCCACTGTTCTCCCCTCGTGTAAAAGATATGTTATGTTCAATAATATTGTCATTGTCACTAGATACGTAACAAACTGCAGAAGCTATTAAAAGCACGTTAAAATCAAACGGCAAACATCGTCAGAAAATCCAGTAGACAAATTACATTTATAATTTATAGTCCATCCATCGAGTCACAGTACACGTAAAGAGATATTATTTATCGTTTATTAAAATTGTGATATAAATGATACGTCGTAAAGTTTAGTTTACAAAGTGATTGAAACATTTTGTCTACACACAGATTCAACAAGTGACACCGTTTATTTACCAATAGTCAATAATAATGGTGAAACTGTGTACGTTACGGAGGACCTGATGAGGAAGCTCGAGGATGAACTGGAGACGTGGCATTGGACGCCGTGGCTGCGGACGAGGACCGAAGTGGCAGAGAATATTGTGAGAGAGGTCGAATGTATTACTGGTGATTCAATCGACAGTTTTCCTGAAGATGCTTTCACAGGTGAGTCTTAAAAAATCTACATTTTTTTCTTCGCAATTGAATTTTTCTCATTAGATAGTTTTGATGTAAGTAATTGGTGTTAATTTTTTTTGACTATACAAAAGAGTAATTATTTAAACTTATACATTAAACTTCCAATTTAACATTGAATTTTTTTTTATTGATGTTATTACCTATAATGTAAGCATTTTTAAGATCAACTTTTATAAATTTAAACTCAATAATTATTGAAATAATTAAATTAAATTACATATAATTTGAATTATAATAATCACTCAAATTACTTAATTACATTTGAAGTCTAACTTATAGTTGCTAATTTGATGAATTGTCGGGTTCTTGTCAAATTATTAACGCGAGATGGATTGCAATTAAAAACACATAGATTTATTATGTGTTTTTTTTTAAATAAATTCGTAAAATTATCCGTTATAATTTTTCAGACCTTTGATCAAATGTTTTCAAAATTGCCACAAATGAATATTTATTTTTGGCAAAAAATAGCTAATTCGCTTATATATTGAGTCATCGAATAGTTTATTACTCGAATGTAACAAAGGCCTTAGTTGTAAGGGCTCGTTTTGCGCAACTCCACGACTAGCGCGTATTTTGCGCGTGAGCAGGATTGACCCCAGCCTGCTTCACTCTCCGAAGAAAGGACAAAATAAAGAATTAAAACGTATATAGCTAAAGTACGCTAGGGGAGTACGAGAGGGCGGCATAGCGCTGTCCATTAAAAGAACTCTCCAAAGAATCCAAACTACCGTTTAATATTGTTGGTGAACTCCAGGAGTGTTATCAGCGATCCAAAATGCTTTAACCTAACAAAGGTCTTAACGTTTCTTATTTGCAGATGATCAATTAAGAAGTGGTGCATTTCTACTCTACGTTTTATTCGGAATATACGCGTTCACACTTTTGACGATTGTATGCAATGATTATTTTATTCCATGCGTCGAATTTATATGCGAGGATTTGAAGATACCGCAGGTTTGTGATATTTTATATTGAATATTAAAAATAAATTACTTCTTACATTGTCTTTGTTAAGTGTCACTAAAATTATAAATATTACTTTATATGAAGCTAACACGGTCCCTAATTGCAAAGTTCTTATTTTTATAATAATCATCCTTTTATAGTACCCAAACGCGAACAATGGGCCTTACACGAATACTTGTGACATTAACAAAATTTGCCTTATGGTTACACGCGAAATACGTTTTTAATTATACTCGTATATTTTGAGTATTATTGAACACAGATTTAAGGAAGAAGTTATGAAATTAAGAATTCTAATTTCAATAATAAGTAGCAATGCTTTAAATTACTGAATACAAAGTACATATTATTTTTATATTAAATTTAAAGCTATCATGGAAGGCAAGCATACTACGAAAAATATATTCTTGTTAAATTATATTTCAACGAACAACTACTAGCTAGAAATGTGTTTCAAGGAATATCTAAGACCTGTTCAATAAGAATCGGATGCCTCATTGAGTGTTAATGATGTGGAAATTTACATCCAATAACTTTGTATACTGAATAACAAGTCTACGTAGAATCTATTACAGATTTTTCAAATACAATTTTATTGGTACAGCTCTTGCCAGCGTTTCCGTTCACACCGAATTAAAAAAAACTAATTGACAGCCTAAGTGTTCCAAAATTTCAAAATCATTGCCTAATTTTAATCAGTTTTACTGTCCTGGACATACCTAATAAATTACATACATCCATCCATCCATCCGTCGCTAAAAAGCTTTTATAAATTGCTATATAATGTACAAAACAAGATTTCTGGTTCACCAGCACAACATTTGAGAAATACATGCTCTATAATTTTTTGTTTAATGTCCTTAATATACTTATAATATTTTTTTTGTGAAACAGAACGTTGCAGCTGCTACGTTTATGTCGGTGGCAACATCATGTCCGGAATTCTTCGTGAACGTGATATCAACTTTTCTTACTGAGTCCGACATGGGTGTCGGGACAATAGTCGGCTCGGCGATATTCAACGCTCTTGGTGTAGCGGCAATTGGAGGTCTCGCTGCTATAAGTGTAAAAAAATATTATATTACTACGCTAATTGTAACATTAAAATTTTATATATGTATGTGGAAGCAAGAAATGCACCAAAATTACAGTTGATAGAAAAGTGTGATAGTGTTTTGTTTAGCCTGCATTTGTTTTAGAAAAAAAGAGAGATTTTTTATAGGATATGGAAAGTAGGAAGGGATAGGTTATAGAATAAAAAGAAAGAGGGTTTGGAGTCCTACAAGATAGTGAGATTTTTTTTTTATAATAATTCAAAAACTATCAATGGCATCATGAAATTCTGCCACTTTGAAAAAAACACCAATTAGCTTATGGGTACAGCAATCTGGCTGAGAGGGTTAAAGCTACATTTATCATATTGAAATAATAAATCCGATTACGGGATGAAAAACTTAAAATTTATTTTTAAACCAATTTATTAAAGCAAGCAATAAAACAATATGTATGCTAAAATAAATATTAAATGTTTGTTTAGGCTTTAATTAGTATTAGATTATTTCATGATTCAATTACTGTTTTGTTTATTGTGAATATTTATTTTATTAATTGGTATTTTCATTTCCAGCCAATCACAATTGACCGTCGTCCAGTAACGAGAGATGTCATCATTTATATGTTCAACGTTGTCGCATTGGTGATAATTGTTTGGGACGGTCGAGTAGAGTGGTACGAAGCGTTAGTTCTTGGCATTTTATACATCACGTATTTCATTGTGATGTTTAACAGTGTCAGGATATTCGCTTTATACGATTCAATTATTGAAAGAAAAAACCGGAACAATAATCAACGTAAGCTTTTTTATGACAAACAAAATAACGCTTGAATACGATCATAATATCACGTAATGAGCTTGAAGTCAGAAATCAATGCTAGTTTAGTTACCTAAGTTTTTAGTAATACAAAAAATGTATGGACAAATGTTTAATGATGTATTCCTTGTTATCCTCTTATTAACCACTTTAATGTATCCTTCGTTAATTACACAAATTTCTTTGCTTCAAGAACTCCATCATTTGTTTTGTTTTCCAGATATCGTAACTAATGATAACAAATCTTCAGTAGAAGGCATTGATAATAAAGGCTTTAATAACAGCGAAGTAGTTATTAGTAATATACCCGAAAAGGTTGCTGTTAACGAGAAAGGTAAGGTGCACATATGCCCGGCTTTTAAAACTGTAGTTAATATTTTTGGGAGTTGCTATTTTGAAATAAATATGAATCTTAATTAACATGATTAAATTGACAAAAGTGGTTGACACACCACTGTGAATAAATCTCCCAACACAAGATAGAAAGTGGGAGATATGTTGGTTGAACCGTTGGAATTTTGGAAATCGAACGTTAAAACAATTCAGTTTGATTAAATCAGTGATGTTATCTTTGTAACTTGTTATTTTATTGCTTTAGCTGAAGAGTTCGAGAAGCCTCCTAAGAGTGTTTGGAGGTATCCAAAAGAAAATTCCTTGGTGTATAGAATTTGGTGGGTGTACACTTGGCCACTCAAGTTAATACTGGCGTTCACAATACCTTTGCCCGCAAGATATAGGAAACTTTATCCACTCTCCTTCATCATGTGTATTGTGTGGATTGGTGTTAATTCTTACTTCGTGTCATGGAGTATGACTGTTATTGGTAAGTCATTCATACATCATCAGCTAACTATACGTCCCCACTGAGAGGCTTGGAGCCTACCCTAAGATAGGAGTGTCTAGGCCATAGTCAACCACGCTGGCCAAGTGCGGGTTGGTTGACTTCACACATATCTTTGAATCTCTTCTCAGATATGTGTAGGTTGCCTCACGATGTTTTCGTGAGAACGTCGGATAAATGTATATATGTAAATTGGTAATCGAAAAACACATTGGTACATGGCGGGATTCGAACCCAGGACCTGCAGATTGCAAGCTGCTGGAGTAATTAAAAAAAACGTTCGTTTCAAAATAACTAGTCACTAGTTTGTCATTTCTTGACCTTTGTTTATTCTTCTGGAATAAAGTTGTTTGGCAATGCAAATCTTAAATCGTCTATGAATTTCGTTTAAGATTGTTTAGTTCATAATTGTGATGTAACAATCCAATTGAATATCAAATATATATTTTTAGGTAGTGATAGCTTATGTTTACGACTTTATATATAAAATATGTGATAACAATATTAATCCCCTAAATATATTTAAGTGATAATATAATTTTGTCGTTGGTCATTATTGATTTTGATAAAAATTTATTTGTTACATACTAATCGCTTAATGCCTAAAGGCTTATGATATTCCGATTGCTTTTCTGCAAATGAACAATCTTATTGGAATATTTGCTTCTACAAAACAATGAGTTTACATTCATAACACGAATGTAAAATGTAAATTGATGCAATATTCCTTTCAATATTTTGAACAGATGTTTTTATTTTCAAGCTCAAAGACTTCTTACCTAAGTTTAATATTTCATCAATAGATGGTTCCTTCATCTGCGAATTACATTACGTTTATTTATGAGTAGGAAGTTGTAACGAGATCCTAGTATTTATTAAATCTTGTAAAATTTCAGGTCACACATTCTTCATACCGGATTCTGTCATGGGGATGACGTTTTTGGCGTTTGGAGGATGTCTTCCTGAGGCGTGTTCTATATTTATAATGTCAAGAAGAGGTATGTTAATAATTTATCGACTTTCATTCTTCTGTCCATTGAAGCATTATAAGGTCATCACCTCCTTGCCATTAGCTCACTCTGTATGGTCAGCATAAAATTTAAAGTTTAAAATAATATGATTTATATTCCCCATTCATCAGAAATTACATCAAACCTAAATATATTTCCAAGATTTCTAAACTGTCGAGACTTTATTTATTAATACTTATTTTTAACCTCAACTTCGCAAGTATTCCTTCCTTTTTATTCGATATTTAGAATTATAACTGCAACTATTCCTTAAGTTCTGTTTCTCCCATAGTTGTCCTATTTTATACCACTAGATAAAGCGTGTTTCAGGATTCCACAAACATGTAAACAAATATGCTTCTAATTGCATAATTGCGTTGTAGCGAACTGTATTGTTTATGTTCACAATGCGTACAGCGATTTGAGTTATTGATTGTGAAGTGTGCTTGATATTTGAACATGTGTATAATTCTGGCAACAGCGAATCATGATTATATGTATGATTATCTGATGTTTAATATGTATTTTATCAATGGCAATCTTGTGTGACCAATGGAGTATTGATTGCGATGTTGACTACGTGAAATGTTATTGTACGGTTAATCTAGTGATAGGAGATATTGTGGACACGTAGAACAAAGCTGATTTAATCTCTTTGCTTCCGTGTGTAGGTAACATGTTGCTTTCAATTTGATTAATGCGTTCAATATATCTTACACTGAGTTAAAATACGTTAAATTATAATTAAATAAAAACATATTTATGCAAATTTTGGTAACGTTAATATAAATAAATATAAAAAAAGGAAATGAATTACAGCATAAGAACGAATAAATTATGATATGTTCAAGAAGTAAATATTAAAATTTAATGGCTTTTACTATCTACACAAAAATTTTTGACTATAGTATCAGTCATCTAAACCCAACAAGATTGTTGGATCAATTTTCCAAAGCTCGGCGAAGTAGTAGGCTAGTTTGGTGCTATTTAAACCCACTGAACAACTATAAACAACCTATACAAAAAGTAATCTTTGTGTAATTAACATAAATATGTATTTCTTTCCAGGTGAAGGAGGGATGGGTGTTTCTAACGCGTTGGGGGCTAATTCTTTAGCTATTCTCTTCGCTCTGGGTGTACCTTGGCTCATCAAAACCTTAACATTAGTAGGACAAGGAGCGGAAAGTAGTGCGGTTTACATAAATTCAGCTGGTATTGGTTTCATCGTAGGTTCTTTATTAGTCGCAGTTACAGCGTTATATATTACGTTATTTATTGGTAAGTTCCAACTGAGAAAAAGAATTGGAGCTGTTTTAGTTGTACTTTACGCCATCTTTATAACATTCGCTATTTTAGTAGAGATGGGTATCATCGTTGATAAAGGTATAGAAATGTGTTAATTATTTAAGTCAGTAATGGTTGTTTTCTGAGACCAAAATCCTCGAACAAAACATATCGTCATTACACTGATTATATGACAAAACAGAGAAAACAATATGTTTTATAAAGTAATTTTGGTCTCAGAAGCCTACGGAAAGAATGCCATACTTGAAGCACTTCAAGCTATCGGTAGAATGATCGTGGCTTGTCGCTTCTTTGTCCTTGTATGGTAATTAGATATATTGGAATTATCAAGGACTGACAAGTTACAGTAACAAATTATCTAAGAGATTTAAAGAATTTACAATGTTGCCGTTAAATTTGAACCGACTGGAAAATTGCATACTGAACGTACGATATATCGCTAGTAATATATTCTTAAAACATTCGGCGATTGTTTATATAGATATACAGTCAGCTGCAAAAAGGCTGTAGCAGTCCAGATATGCAAATATGTAGGAACTCCTAAAGTAATCAATAATAAAAGTACAACAAAAGTCTTCAAATTATTAGGTACATTCACTCTGCATAAACACATCGGAATGTGCACATCGTCAAATATATGAGTTCATTCAAGGCTGCTACGGTCTTTTTGCAGCTGACTGTACATATATGGATCTTCCAAAGTGAATTCTTTTTATATTCTCCAAGAGTGGACTAAAATAACGCCTGCGACGTAAATGTATTTATAAAGGAAATTGTGTAGATATGTTAGTTAATTTTCGTAGTCAATTGTAGTCAATTGTAGTCAAAGTAGTCACTAAGTTTAGTAGTTTTAGAATATTTTGTATAGATTATTATATTTTAAGACATTTCATTCTGAAATATGTGATAACTATTTTATGTATAAAACACATTATTTAATATTTGTTTGTACAAATTAGCTTATGTTGTTCGTAAAATTATATGAAAATAGACCAGTGCTTATTAAAGAAGTACAAAAAATTCTTTAAAGATTTTTTAATGGTTTTTTTTTTCCGGGACATAAAGTTTTGTCTTATTAAAATATTCATTTCAAACAGAACCACGCATAGACACATACACTAAGATTTTTTTCAATAGTGTATTAACTTAAGATCTGACTTTTAGTAACAACTCAACCGGCGGCATTGCCAAAATCAATATGACATCAAAAGTAAAGTAAAGTAAGTAGTGCAAGCAAAAACTGTAATTAAATTCGAAAAGCATGTTTGTTTCATTTTTACGTACGCAACGTAGGCTAAAAAGCCTTCTATACCCTGTTGTATCAAATATACACTTTAAGACTATTATTATAGCTACAAAATTAAATTAAATTAACTAAATGACAGCGAGATCAATACAGGCGTTTAAGAGATACCTTCAACCAAAAATGTATCCATCTAACCAAACATTCACATTTATAATATTAGTAAGACTTTAGCATGTTCTTATAAGGTGATTCACTTAGCACATTGGATACCACTTTTGATATTTAGTTAGTTAATGTATTAACACTGGAGAATGCACGAAACACCAGATATAAAAATATTTGACACAAACATATTTGGCCTTGAGACTATCACCGATGAAAGATAAGTACGAGAAGTGGAAGTAGACTTTCCGGATGAGAGGATGCATGGAAAGGAAAGATATTTTCTTTCTGTGCATCCTCTTCTCCGTCGATTAAAGGCAGGCAACGCATGCAATTGCGTATGTCTATGGGCAACGGTCACTTCGCTATTCAGCGATTTCAGATGTCTGCTCGCTCGTTTGCCACCTTATGATATAAAAAAAGTTGAAAAACGTTAGATGTTGAAAAAAAAAGGTTCGACACAGTTCAGTTAATAACTAATTATATTAATTATTATAACTTTAACTATTTTATTAGTAATGATGAAGTTCATTTATTTTCAGTAGCCTTATTTCCATTCACAATATTTAAGTATAGACATAAATAACAGACAAATTAAGTAACACAAAAGATTTTCTGTGTAAATAGTTATAGTTTCACAGCGTATTTGGATTTTGTGAAACACCAACGACGAGTTTATTTGACAATGAACTTCCAACTACCTTTATATTAGCAGCCGGGACGTACGAGATTTAATTTTGTTCCTTGAATTGCAACATTTCAAAGGATTCCGAGAGCCTTTATGAGATTGTGAAATGAACAATCCAGGCGCAGTATCCAGTACGAATTACACACCGTGTCTGAACAAAGCAATAAAAGTGTAGTTGTAAGTTCACTTAATTTTTTTAATAATTATGACTACGTCTATTTCTTATCTTATTTTTATATATACTTGACTTTAAGTCTTTAATACTCACTATGGACAAAAATACATAAATTATGCGTACCGGAAAAAGCTCTCAGTGCATCAATTGATGCGCATTAAAATTAAAATTTTGGTAGAGAATGTCTAAATTGTTGTCTCCTTTGAGAAGCTCCCTACTAAAGTCTAGCCGATGTTCGAAATCGCCAAACACATTAGTACATGACGGCGATAGAACATGGACATGTAAATTACAGTCCGATCAGGCACTCAAGAATTGCAACACCGTCGCTGTATGTCTATAAACGATTAATTAGTGACATATTGTTCATTATCCATTTTGTAATAATGGATAGAGTCATATAATATATAATATGCAAGGAGATTATTCTAGAACAATACATTCGTTGCAGTATCTGGCGGAAATTTTAGGTCTTCACAGATCCTTGTTGCCGGCGTCTAGCAATTTAATTACCCGTATCCATGACTAGAATAATATAAGTTTACATTTACAATGTTCATCTATTATGCTTAAACTTCCTGTTGAATCTATTCCGTAAGTTGATAATTAAAAAAAAAAACCTATTCTTATTTTTTTTGTGGAATTCTAAAAATTATTGAGAATTTTTTTATAGTTAATAAAATTATTCTTATGGACTTATCATCATCATCATTATCATCACCATCATAATCACCATCAGCTTTTCTATGACATAAGCCTACCCCAATTCACACTGTATTGAACCCCAATACCTTCTACATTATGCATTGTGATAGGCTTACGGCTTAAGGCTTATATACATAAACAATAATAATTTTAGTAAAAATTGTAGCCAACTTAATATGTAAATATTATTAACTTAGTAGTATTTGTTATTTAACAATTATTTAGTAGCGTTGTATAATACTTATATTTTATGAATATGTATATTTTCTTCGTAAAGACTCGAGGAAGTGTACTGCGAAGTAATATCAGCTCGTGGAAAACTAAATAACGGCTCTATTCTAAGAGAAGTTCACGATGTAAAGGTCATTATCGACAACGTGCGATAGGGATAGCGAGAGTATTCCGCCGCGCGTCGGGTGAGACAAAACACAGCGGTGAAAACGGCGGAGCCTGGACGTAGCTCGTATTTAATTTTAATTTTATTATTTTACAATGTCATGCCACATACTTATAATATTTACTCAGTGTTATTAAGTTAAAAGCGTGATTATTAGAGTTTGCTACGCCTTAGTCAACCCCGATGGCTCAGTGCGGGTTGGCTGCGTTTACAAATATATTTAAATTTCTTCCCAGATATGTCCAAGTTGAAACACGATTTCCTACACCATAAGAACGTTGAAGAAATGTACATAAGGAATTAGAAAATTGAAAAACACATTGGGGATCGAACCCCAACTTCAAAATTATAAGTCCAGTGCTTAGCTACATACAATTATAAAATAAAGTTAGACGTCAGCTGCATACAAAGGATGAAGGTTGACCTTTTAATCGAAAATATTATTGTTTAATTCAATGCCAGTGTGTAAGTTTAGGTCAGGCGTTACGGGGCTTTGAAGATGAGTAATTGGTAATTAACAACTTAACATAAGGGTTTCACTTATTCACGTTTTAATTAATTTTAAGTACAACCTAACATATAAACATAAGTTGCACTCAAAATATATTCTATATAAATTTACGTGGGCGGTCGGATTCTCGGGAATTTCATTTAAAACATTTTCCGTTACAGCGAAAACAGGTTTCCAATTTACTTGTGTACAATTAATTTGGTCACTATATTTATTCTAGAATAACATTGAAGTAGTAAGGTCTTTTTCTAACCTTGGTCTTGGTATCAATGTCATATTCGTTTGATATTAAATATATTACACAAAGACTATTTATTCGACTCAAAATTAAACCTCTTAAAATTTTTAATATATATATATTTACCTCAAATTATTTCTATTTATATACTAAATAGCTGTCGCCCGAGACGGTATTGAAATATAAAGCCGATTCTCAGACTTATTGATGCGTAGAACATTTCATAAAAATCGATCAAGCCGTTCTGGAGGAGTATGGTAACTAACATTGTGGCACGAGAATTTTATATTTACAAGATTATTGAACGTGTCATCATCATCATCATCATCATCATCAGCTCCCTATACATCCCCACTGAGGGGTTCGGAGCCTACCCTAAGTTAAGGGTGATTAGGCCATAGTCAACCACGCTGGCCCAGTGCGGGTTGGTTGACTTCACACATATCTTTAAATTTCTTCTCAGATATGTGCAGGTTGCATCACGATGTTTTCCTTCACCCCAAGAACGTCGGATAAATGTATATATGAAAATCGGAAATTGAAAAACACATTGGTACATGGCGGGATTCGAACCCAGGACCTGCAGATTGCAAGTCAAGTTCTTGACCCCTGAGCCATCGACGCTCTGATCGTATATGATGATACGTACTCTGATACGTATTGATCGTGTGCGCAAAATATAATATGCGTCGTAGCATCCTCATTAAATTTTATACGAAAATAAACAAAATGTAACGATATTGTGACTGTTTGTAACCCTAACAAATATTTATTTCTGTACCCTCTTACGAGGATGAAATTTTGTCATTGACAATTTGCTGACAGTTTATTAAATTCTTATAGTTCGATTATGAACTGACTAATTTTGATATCAGTTTTTTACGAATAGAGAAAAAATCTTATCAGATTTGTGTAACAGTCAATATAGCCCAGTCGTAATTCTATACCACATTAAGCCTCCACGTATGTATGACATAGGAGCATCTTATAAATAATTTTGTTAAGTTTGATACAGCTTACGGTGTATTGATTGTATTGAAAATATAAGATATCTGATATCCATTCCTACCACTGTACCCTTTCCTAGGAGACTCAAGGGCGAAAGGCGATATTGGGTTTCTGTAGATATATATATACAATATTGTCAAATATTTTTTTTTATATTTATTTCAGTCCCACTAGCTATGTGTGTAGTAAGTGTCCTAAAATTATACTTAAGTAATCAATTAATTTATGTAGCATGGAGTACATACAACCCACTCACATACTTAACGTAACTTCCCTGAAAATTTCAGCAAAAAAAAAGTTGAACAGACTGTGCAAGCTATCGCAATTGTTGGGTATAATTAGATTTTTTCCCCGAATCTAACTGGGTCTATAATACAAAATATTGACTAAAATGTTGCAATATTTCACATTTATAAAGACTACAATTTGCTAACCTTCCATATAAACAAAAACATCGTACTGTTAGACGTAAAAGCTTTCCAACGTAAGTGTAACTAAAGAAAGACGCCTTAAGTAACTAAATATGCTGTTTTCAAGTAACAACGCGTTAAGGGCTTGTTCACGGTAAACGCACGGGCGCGAGTAATGGCGCCGTAGAGGCAAATTGCGTTTACCTACGTTGGCCAGGCGTTGTTGATCTGAGTGCGTCGGCTTGTCATGGCAGCTACTGGCGTTTAGTGTTTGCTACAAACAGCTACAATCATCAAGCATATGTCAAATACCTAATACAAATTCCCAATATAAAAAGCGTGTTTACAATAAGCAATACAAGACCTAATCGTGGCGATAAATATGATTAACGATTATTTTTTGGCATTGGTTGTTTTTTATTATTATTTTGATAAGGTGCTCATAATTTATACATGTTTTACAGACATATACAGTTGTCATGTCCATTTTAGAA